GCACGACGATGTGTCACTCACTGCAGGTGGGTGCACAAGCAAGCAGCAGTCGGGCAGGTGTGTGTGTCTGTGTGACTGACTTTCGTGTGCGGTGTCATTCATTCGTGTGTAGGTGTGCGTGTGCCTGGCATCGGTGCGTCTGTGCGGCCGTCTGTCCACTTGTCGAGGAGAGAGGCGCGCATGAAGGTACCTACGTCCATGTCCATGCTGTCGCAACTGAGGCAGGCAAAGCGGTGCCTGCGTGTCTGTGTGTGCGCGTGCGTGTGGTGTGTGTGTTGGTTGTGCTCGGCAGGTGTCGCTGTCTATGTCGCTGGCGACGAGCGCAGAGGAGAGGCACCGAGTTGGTGGGCAAACAAGCACACACACGTGTGGATGAAGATGCGCGCACAGACCCCTCACACACGCCGCTCTGTCGCTGTGTGCATGTGTCTGTCTGATCTCGTCAGTGGATCTGTCCTTCCTGGACCTGATTGGGCGGAAGAGGCAGCTCTCCAGCAACCAAGACGCACGGTAGGTACCATGCTCACCTGCGCATGCCATCCACCAACCCACACACACGTGTGTTGTGTGCATGTGTCGATTCGATTCAATCCATTCATCCGCCAGGCTTCACGTGATTCTGTTGAATCGGCCGCTGCCCGACTGCGTGCCCGCGCTCATGCGCCTCTCCACCATTGTCGTGTGCGCGGACGGCGGCGCAAACCGCCTGTACGATCAGGTGCGTGGCCATTATCCTCACACACACATCTGTCTGTCTGTCTGTTTGAATGTGCCTCGCCTCTCTCTCTTTCTCTTGCTTTCTGTCAGTTCACTCGTGAGCACGAGGCGCGCATCAACGGCAAGCAGAAGAGCGACAACGGGCACGATGACAGCACCCCGCTAGAAAGGTGTGGTTGGCACATTGATGGACACCGCGCACTGAGCTGATGGATGGTGCAACAATGCACTTTATGGATGCATGTGTGTAGGATCGACGAGGCGGCGATACCTCAGCCGGCAAGGTCCATGTCCGTGCCAGCCATCAAACACAAAAGGTGCTCACGCGGTTCCTGTGCATTCTTGAGTTCATACGGCGCATGTGGGTGGTGCATGTGCCTTCTGATACGAGACGCGTGTGAATGCATGTGTGTTTCAGGGATGGCAGCAGGTGCGAACACGCCGGTCGGCTGTCGCTCATACGGAGGGCCACAAGACGGCCGTCGATGATGTCACTCGCTGGTGGGTATTGTAATATACACACAGCAGGCATAGCGGTTGTGGCGCATGTGTCCATGTGTGTGTGTGTGTGTGTGTGTGTGTGTCGACGAATCAGCGTTTGTCGGTCCTGACGAGCCGCTGCTTCTGCCGTCGCACATATGTGGCGACCTCGACTCTGTCAGGCCAGACGTACGCACCACCTCTCTCTCACGCGAAGCCCAGCTCTGAACATGCATTCAGCCATCGACCCATCTTTCAGGTGTTGGAGTACTTCAAGGATCGGGAGGTGTCGATACTGCACGACCGGGACCAGGACACTAACGACCTCGAGAAATGCTTCCAGTTCGTCAGGTAGGTCTCACACTCACCCACACACACACATCCATCCATGCATCCATCCATCCGTGTGTCTGTATGTGTGTGTCTGTGTCTGTGCAACACAGGTCTGAGTTCCAGACGGGCGATAAGGTGGTGGTTGTCGGGGCTTTTGGTGGGCGATTTGACCAGGTGGGGTGACCTCATTTATCGGGTGGGGGGTACACCCAGGAAGAGCAGACCAACATGTGTGTGTTTGTGCTTGTGTGTGTGTGTGTGTGAGACGATCTGCAACTGCCACCTTTTGTACAAGAATTGGGTGCAGCTCGAGCATG